ACAGTGTGGAGAGACAGTGACAGAGAGAAGCAGAGGCACAGAGACAGGCCAGGTTGTTCTCTGRGTTTCCTGTTGTTGCAATAAAACTCAGCTGATCATCTCACGGAGTACCTTCATTTTTGGACCACGTACTTCTGTCTTTGTTAAATAAATATTGCCATAACAGATTAATTTGAGTTACTAACAAAGAGAGACCAAAAAGTGTCAGAGTTTGCATGAACAAAGATCAGTGAGTTTCCCTTTGTTGTCTCTTTCTGTTGCACGTTAGTCATGCCAAGTTCAAGACAAAAATGTAACAAAATGGGTAAAACCACACATTATTCTAAAATTGTTTAACTGGGCATACTAACAAAAAATTAGAAAGACAGACAGACCAAAAGACAGATGACCTAATGGATGAATAAACTAACAAGAGGATTGAAAACAAAGAAAAAGAATGATTATTGTACAAGACAGAAGGACAGATGAATAGACAATTAGATGGATGAGTGGACACAAAGACAAAAAGAAATGACAAATGTAACTGTATAAGAAACCACAATGATCAGGTTACCAACATGACAATCAGGACATGGATTATCCTTACAAAAACATGGCTTCATAAACACACAGAATATGCTTGAGGTCTTCACTGACCTGTCTGAAGCCCAGAACTACTTTCTATTAAAAATGTACATTATGATTAAAAAGGAGAAAAGGTGTTTCTAAAAAWAATAATAATAATAAAACACAACAAACATCTGATACCTGAGGCACTGGAGACTAAACTAAACTAACGTCTCTAGCTTCCTGCCTGAAAAGTCACAATACAGAGGTAGAAACCAGAAGAACGAACAGGATGTTCCCTCGAACAATCTAATGTGAACTCTCAGTGACCAGTTAATAAGATGAAAATGGATCTGCTGGGCCTGAGAATGAACAATTCTAGAAAAGCACTGAGAAGAAAAGAGGCTTCATTATACACCAGAGCTCTAAGGCTGGTGAATAAAAGAGTTCTTTCACCATTATTTTGATTTCATTACCTGCCAAAGGCCAAGGTACAGCAAATAATATTGTCTGTGAGTATTTGTCAATACCATTAACTAAAAATTTCATGAATCACTGAACAGAGTTGAACAGAACCGTCAAAGTATTTATTTCCTACATATCCTGAATAAATAAACAATATATTCAAACACATATTAGTCCATATAAATATAATAACTTTATGGTCAGTGGGAGTCAAACCAGTTCAAAACGACTGCCTCAGCAAACACAAAAATGACTGAAAAATGAAATGGAAAATTACGCTATGTCTTCACTGACATCTTTCTGAAAGAATGTTTTTCACACACAACATTGGCTGTTTTGTTTTCATGTCCAAATTAACGTTTTTTTGGTTTGAGTCACTTGACCAGGCCATAAATTCTTCTAATCTCTATGGATCAACAAGTGTTGTCTCAGTACAGAACAACTTCTCAAAGAACTGACGCTACAGTGGATGTTTTGTACACTACCACTGTCTGTCACAAAGACTTGGTTTGAGCCCATTTTGTTAATTAGATCTATGAAAAATACCAAAGAGAACACATTTAGGCAAATAAAACATTATCTTAGCATCAACAAATTTGTTCTCTGAAAACATTTAGCAAAGAACTTGTCAGTAACTGAGCAATGATACGTCTGTTGAGACTTTA